GCTCTTAGTGAAGCAATGCAGTGTTTTTGGCAACACAGACCTCAGAGTAAGTAGATCTCCAGTCTCACGTGCTTCTAGCATATGCACATCTCTTTAACAGGGTACGAATGTGGTCCCAATTTCTTTCCATACCATGCAATGAACAGCAGCAATGTGTAGATGGAGAATATTTTACCTCCTGAAATAAAACAGGAGAAGTTCCTCCTACATTCAGGACCTTCTGGGAGGAATGCTCTGCAACTGCTACTTTACAGTAATATCAGTCAACTTGCTGATCAATTGATTTGACCTGCAAGCAGGATGCCTCACCAGGCATCGCTAACTTTAGGAGCTTCCCTGCACTCTTCTCAGTATGATGTTGACGTTAGAGTATAGTCCTGACTAATGAGGGTAGTAAAGAACCAATCTCAAAGACTCCTTTTGGAGATATCTTATTTGCTCAGTTAAGAACATGTATTTTTCCCTGAGATTTGTCAGGGATACAGCCATTTCTTGAGCCTGTTACAAAAGGCCAGTATTGTGCATTTGTGCTGGCATACCATGCCCTGCAAAGACTTTGGCAAACAGACCGTGCTGAGCAACACATGAGCCAACTGGCCGGACATGGGCCACCTCTGAACTGAAAGCCCTGTAGCTCTGTTTTGCAGCACTGTGCTTTCGACAAGAGTTCATATATTAAGCTTGAGCACAGCTCCATCAGACTGGAGCTCATGCTGTGAAATCTCTTAAACACTGAGTGAGCACAGTTCTGTCTGCAAAACATTGTGCAAACGTAGCTGGAGTCTATCAATGCATTTCACCAAGTTCAGGTACAGATTTTGCATAGATATATTACAAGACAAGAGTTTTAGTTCACCGTATTTCAACAGACTCGTGAGCTGCAGGTGAAATTTTGTTTTTAAAGGTGAATTAAGATTGCTCTGCACAGCCTCCAGAAAAAAAGAATCAACAGCAATGACTGATGCTGTAGAGATTTCACTGTGCTGCTTCTTTTCTGTTCATCACTTTTAATGATGTTTGTAACTACGAGGAGGGGTACAAGCGTTCCTACCTTCATGTTACAAAAAAACTTGATTATTTTTAATGTCTTCTTTACCACCAGACTAAGGCCAGCCCTTTTCTTCTCACTTCTTAGTCTGTAGATGATTCTCGAACCAGTTTTGGCAGAGAGTTCAACAGGGCATCATGAGTCACGCTTCCTTTTTCATGGTATTTTTGGAACTATCAGAAATCTTTTAAATCCATTCTGACAATTTGAAGAAGCAAAAGCTGCAGTTGCCTCATTTTGATTTAACTGAATCTTGAAAGATAAGGATGAGGGGGAGGGATGTGCAAGGGGATGCAAAGAAACAACGCTATTTTAACTTACTTTTTTTAGACCATACTGGGTTGATATTATCTGGCCTTTAGCTGCTTGAATTGCTTGTTGAACATGGCTGTAGGATTTAATGTCTCCAACAAATAATTTCTGAACAAAACAGAGGAGCATAGTTATTTCAGTTCACAATGTCCATGTGCATGATGATAATGAAATTTCAGCATTGATGTCAACAGCACTGATGTGGCATTTTTTTAAGTGGTTGGAGTTTTAGCAAGTGAAGCAGTATAACTGCCCTTGAGGGGTCTGTGCCCTTTGACAGCAAAGGAGAAAAATATTGTGTGTTCTGCAAATCTGCTTCTGCTGTTCTCTGAAAACAGAGACTATAATCTGGTTTAACAAGCACTAGTGTTCTCATAATGTCAGCTGAACAGGATTACAGGAGAATCAATTTTATGTAATTAAACTTCTCTGGCATAAATAGAGATCATTTTCTTAAAAGGGGGGAAAAAAAAGTGAAGGTTTGAAAAGAAAAAGTCTCTGTGGCTGGAATTTTCTCCTCCTTTCCTGCAAAGCAGTTGTTAACCTCCTACGTTAAATGAAAAATGGTAGTTGAAACAAACCTTGGGAAATATCACTCTTTCACTGATGTAGTAAGATTTAAAAAAATGTGTATTTGGTGTGTAACAATTCCACCAGAAATGGAAAACATAAATTGACAGATGTCTTGTTTTAGGTCTTCCTTTGGCAATGGAAAAAATAGAACAGCAGAGCTTAAAACAATATTGCAGTTGCCACATCTTTCTCTCCTGTGTGTGTCAATAGGTCCTTCTCAAAGTCACGCTGATATTAGATGCGTCCTCTGACACAAAATGACCTTCATGCGGGAAAAAAAAGGATTTGCTTCAACTGTCCAAATCTAAATTTTAAAGTGAACCTGTTAAAAAGGATGAAAGTATAAATAGAGTAGGGTTATAAAGGGGAGAGATTTCTGTGGGAGGGTTAGGATTTTGCCTGCAGCCCTGCTTTGAATGCAGTAAAACATCGGTTAGCTGGTAAATGCAAATCAAGGAGCAGCAGACCACACAAGGCTGAAGAGTTAATTTAAAACTTAATATTGCCACATCCTGTATAAGACAACCTGGAGGTACATAAAACCAAACGTTTAACAGCTAGTTTAACAAAACCATCTCACAGTGGTATTGCAATGATGTAGTACTACGAGGACAGCTCTTGCAGTACAAATGGGTTCTGAAGGAAAGGGAAAGAATTGCAGAAATAGATGGGACCTAGGAGAAGTGTAATTGCTTTACATCAGACCCATCCCTCTCGATGCTACTTGCCTGCATTCCTTTGTGTTTTCTGCTTGAGCATATTTAAGCACATACCAAATTACAACCCAGTTATGGATTTATTGGAGCAAAAGCAGCCTCTGTGCACACACATGCCCAGACCTCTCTTCGTAAATATTTCCTTGTTTATTCACATTGCTCTTATGGAAATAGGCCCATGAGTTGCATGTTGTAAGTTGCAAGGCAGTGATAAAGCTCTGATGCTGTACTACATAGTCTTCCAGCTGCTTTTCACCTCTGTCACAGCCTCACCATCATCCTTGCCACTGGATCTACAACTAGCTTTTTGTCCTGTAGTAAATACTGAAGGAGAGACAACGTTTGGATATTGATTGCTTTCCCATGCAGGTCCAGGTCCCTAATGACTGACTGACTATTTGAGAGTGGTCTGCAAAATATCTGGGGATAAAACTGGCAAAACTTGATCCCTCCCTTCCACTGGAGGAACGTAGACCCTGTTGCGCCACATTGTTCATTGTGTGTCCTGAGCGCTTAACCTCCACACTGGGTGCTGGGCTGGGCTGTTGGCACAAAGAGCATGGAGCAGTGTTGGCTCTTGCAGTGAAGTGTTACCTGTTTGTGACTTGAAATTAGGATTGCAGAATTAGCCCGTTGTGGTGGGTGTGAACCTCCTGCTTTTGCGTTATATGGACAATGGAAAAACTCCAGTGGTACCTGGCACCTGCCAAGGGGCGGAAGAAATTGCTCTGTTGGCACCTGGCTGAGGCCGGGTCATTCTCTCACCCCCAGGGAATGATCATTATAGTCAAGAGAAGTTGCAATAAATGCTATATGAAGTGCACATGTGCCTGCACTTCCATCATTCTGATCTTGATTGCACTCAGTTTGGGAGGGCATCATTTGTGCTCTTTTCTTCCAGTCCCAGTGCAGTCGTGGGGATTACTAACTGTTGCTAAGTGGGTGCCTGCTTCCCTTTCTGCATCCTGCATCGGTGAACTGAAGCAGCACCTGTGAAGTGGGTGGTATTAGTGGAGCAGGTACAACCCATTAAACTCTGTAGTAGATCTTACCGTGGAGGTTCAGGAGACTCTTGCCTTGCCCTGTCAGTGTGATGATTATTCATTCCAGCTTTTCATCTTGGTGCAGCTGCCCTCTTTCTGCTGTCCTCTGTTCACTGTATATTAAAGGTTTTGCCTGGGTAGAAAACATCTGTCTGCTTTTACTCTTGCCTTATGTACAAATGTCAAATAAAGAGTTTCCCCTCTCTGGAGTCAAGGTAAAAAGTGATGGTTTTTCACACGCCACAATCTCCCTGCTATCTCAGTTTACCAAATTATGCACTCCATGTGCATTTGAGAGCTGCCTTTCTACATGCAGTATCCGGGGGAGCAAGGTCATAGCAGGAGGTCTGATTTACTTAGTAGTCCTTCTGTGCTTATGATTTACTGAACATCTCAGCTTGATTTAGTCTGTGAACTCTGCTGTTAGTCTTCCAATTTTCCTTTCCCTGATTTTCCCCCATCTCTTAAAGCAAGTATAAGTAATGTGAATTGTAAATCTTGCCTTTGCTACTGTTCTCGCCTTCTTTAGCAATGCTTTTTCTCATGCATAAAGAATAATGCGATTCTTTGGGGATTTTCTTGCTAATTTTGATAAGACTGCATAGGATTCTTTTGTTTGATTAAAAGAAAAAAAATTTTCACTTTAAGACACACTTTATTGAAGTTTCATCATGATAAGAAAAGGTTTTGAAGTTTTGAAATGTTTCCTTATTTTGTACAATTTTTTTCTTGTAGAATCCAAGAAAATTCTTAGTCAGTATGTATTTCACATACTCTAGTGGTTCTATAGTACCTACCTCTACAGTGTGACCATCTCAGCCGGGCTTTAGAGCATTGTCCTTACTGACCTAGAAATCATTCCATCCTGAATGCTTTGTCTACATCATTCTTGCCGTTGTACACTCCTAGTTTTGTCCTATCCAGAATGTTGATTCAAGTCATTTTTCTTTTTCTAGACAAGTGCCAGAGTTTGACTATTCTATGCTTTATAACTTGCTCTTTTTTTCCCTGTACTGCATTACCTCCTGTCCTGCAGCTGATACAGGGATGTGATCATGCAAGAGTCTGTGCAATGAAAAAATTCTTCATGGTATCAATTGTGGGATCAGCCTGAATTTTCAGTGGTCAAATCCAGATGTAGCACATTAAAAAAATTTATCCTATCCTGTTATTCAGATATTCATGTATTTTAATTTGGAACAGTGGAAAGCTGGAGTGTTTTGACTGAATTACTTTTAAGATGTTTACAGATGCAAGATCTACCCTGGGTTTTCTTACATCAAGAAGTTGTATGTCTTTCTTTTGTAGATTTGAACGTATTCATACAAAGAAAGGGAACTACAGTAAGTCACTAGTTTCTAACCAGGAAGAGGTAGATGATTTAGCAACCTTGGAAGTACTGGATGAGGTAAGAAACTTGCATTTTTCAAGTTTGCCCGAAGAGGGAGGATCAAGCGCTAAAATATATTGGTGGGCTGTTGATTTTCACATTCAGCTATGTTGTCACACTTTTATTGTGTAAGTATACAATGGCATTTTACCAGTTTACGGCAAACTTTTTAGATGAGATTTGCTGTGTCTAGAGTGGTTTCAACTCAATGCTAAAACATCCTCTGCAGTTAAAGCCTCAGACTGTGCAGTGTTACAGCACCATTTGGTTAGCTGCATCTATACCACTAGATTTTATTCCTGCTAAATATCTAGTCCACAATGATCTGTTAACTTGAAATTGGTCCAGCTTCAAGAATCAGCATCTTCTCACGTGTTGCTTGGACATCTAGTGTTGTCCTGAACTAGCTTCTTGTAGTCTTATAGATTGAGTTCTCTCTGCCTTTTGCTGTGGAAATGCATTGAGATCAATTTATGTCAGCCGAGGCTTGTGACCTAACAGTGCCTTCTGTTGATAATAAAAATTCTGATACAAATCTCACTGGTTTGTCCAAGTCTGAAAAGGAGTCCACTGTGAGCAGTGGAGCATGCATGAAGGAGGAGGGAAGTCTGCTGTGGTTATAGCTTTATGCTTCAAAAGCAGAAAGAAGAATCAAGCCACAGCACTTTATCTGCAGGTCTTAGAGCCCGTCAGTGGTTGTAAGCAAACTGTCATCCTTCCTCTACTGAGCTGTCCATGGACTGGTACAGGCTATAATTCACATTCTCTGTCTGTAAAAGTTTTGTGATATATTGCATCTTTGTCAGTCCAGAATACAAAATGTGGCTCTTGGCCTGGTAAACTGCGTAATATTAACAACCCTCCGAGCACTTTCCATCTTCCAAGAGCTTATTAATAGTAGCTTAATCTTTCACTAATAGTAGCTGAACTCTTCATTTACTGCACAAGGCTCAGATTTAAGCATTTTTTTTTATTAGGAGTAGCATTTTTTTATTAGGAAAAGCTCCCAGTACTGGCTTTTATCTTCTGCCGTGAAGCAGATAAACAAGTGGAGCTAGAGAGAAACCAGAAAACAGGACAAGCCTGAAGTATATCTCATCTCCTCAGAGGTGGAGCGTTCTCAGGAAAGTCCTCAGGAAGCCTGCCACCTCAAGGCATCGTTTGACTATGTGGTATTTTTGTAAAACCAATCCAGTTTATCGCCCTATTCACATACAAGTGACAGCTTTGCAAAAGTGTCTCCCTCATTCAAAATCTTTCAGTTTAAGCAGGCGCATCAGAAGAGCAAAGCAGACAGCCTTCTAGGATTTTGGCTATAGATGCAAGAAATAACTTTAAAAAGGGCAGACCTTCCCCTAAAAAAAATTTGTGAATGTAAATCTGCTCATGGCCAAAAGCAAGATACAGTTCAAACCAAAAAGGGAGGAATTTATCAAGTCATTAGAAATCTTGAAACGGGGGTTTTGTTCTTATATTTTCCTATGAAGGTAATGTAACTTTTTCAGCTGATGAGCATTCCGATCCCAACTGCATTAAGCAAAACACAATACACATCGCTGTGAAGGAGGTAGAGGGAAAGCAATTATTTTTGTATTCCTCTGCTGCTTGTGGTTCTGTTCCAGTGGAAATAGGGCCTAAGCATTTTCATATTTAACTCGAAATAGTCTGCTATGGGAGGGCTGTTCTGAATTTCTTCAGCCAGAGCTACTGCCTGTTTTGATTGGAAAGCTTACCAGGCAATTTCACCCCAGCTTTATATGTAGAAGAGGTTGAGGAAAAGTACATCAAGAGGTTGGGTATGCCACTAATGGTCCCCTCTTCTTCCTTGTTTTAGGGAGCACTTGCTTTGCAGCATCAAATAGCAGACACAACGGAGAGTGGTTGTTAATATTGTTAATGCAGGAACATATTTATCTACTTACATGGGTAGGATCCAAACAGTTGAACATCTATGACTTATAATAACTGCGAGTAATCTTAGAGAAGCTGCAATGGCAGATAGGAATTTAAGCATGTGGCTCTTGCCTGATGAGTTACCGCAAGTTAGAATTTAAGACGAGACTATCACAGGAAAACCTTTGATGAGTTGAATTAAATGCTATTTATTAGTTAAGGTTTCTGTAGCTACTTGGAGATCTGTAAATATATATTGTTCAAAGTCAGTTTGGACACAAGAAATTATGAATGCCAGTCTGAAGGTAGCACTCATTTGTGATTCAGATGGTATGTATTCCTGACCATTAATATCTTTCCTCTCTCTCCCCCCTCACTCTTCTGTTTTATACATTTTGCTAATATTCTTTTTTCTTGAGAAACAATATTGCTATTCTTCCTCCATCAGAATACAGTAACAGAGCAGTTGCAGAAAGGTTATGTCAAAGATCAGATCTACACATATGTAGGGGACATCCTCGTCGCTGTCAATCCATTTCGAAACATAGACATCTATTCTTCACAGGTATGAAAGTCTAGGTTTGGTTCTCTTCTTGTACTTGCATTGATTTCCGGTAAAATGTGAACATTCATGTTAAATATGAAGAAATATTGTTCTTGAGGATTTATTTGAGTTTACTCTGAACAACAGAATTACTAATATGATTGTCCCTTCTGTAACGTGCTGACACACATACTTGAGTGCTGAATTTCAGCCTAGAGATGAGACACACCCGACAAAGGTCCATCTCAGGTACGTTTATGTCTACAGTGTAGAACATGTCTGCAGCATGTCTAAAGTTTAGGTAGCTACATCTGAGCTAGTGACACATTATAATTAATGGATGGAAAAAAGAACTTTGAGGTCATTGTTCTACCTGCTTGCAGCTTTGATTTTAGGATGAGATAAACTGCACCTAAACTTAATGAGCTGTGTTGACTAGAACCTCACTAAGCGTAAAGGAAGCCGAGGCCGACTAGTTCAGAAGTAACATGTGTACACATCTATATGTTTATACAGGTGGATCTTACCTACTCACATAAACGTAAGGCGTTACACACTCACATAAATACTCTTAGTTATGCAAAAAAGAACAGTGAAGTCCATCATGAACTCCCCAAAATGTTGGTCACATTGCTTGCTAAAGAGGTACATCCTAGCATACTGCACATCTGAAAGAGAACTTGATTATTGTGCTTACCTTAGTTTTACAGGTGACTGAAGTAGAGTTCTCACTAGTTTACATCAATGTTAATAAAAAAAAAAAAGAAGGTAGCTCTAATGTTAGGTGCTGAAGAGAGACCTTTAAGGAAGCAGAGTATTTATTTTGTCCTCCATGGTGTGTTGTTCTGACATGGCAAGAGATTTGTGCAGGTAATCCTATCTTATGGCTGGAGAGCGTCTTAAAATAGTAAAATGGATGCCATTCTTTCACTCAAAATAGGGAGGTCTGTGTAGCCTTTATGTACCACAGAGAGGCATCCTCTGAAGAATCCCTTTGTAAATGTTGCCTAGGTGAGATATGGTCACAGTGAATAAAATAGTATGTCCTTCCCTGCCTTCCCAGTAGGAAGATGCCAGGCCACACAGAGCGTTCTCGTGCAGTCTCAATAACATAGCTCTGCATGGCTGCATGGCCTGGGGGAGAGAGGGAGCATTTCTTCTCCTCCTCCACTTCCCATGGAGAGCTTCTGCACTGAGACAAATGAGCAGAGGTGGGAGCTGGGGGGACTTTCTCCTGAGAACTAGGGAAGCCATAGCTATTTATCTCATTAGACAGTTCACAAAAGCAGCAGTGTAAAACTTTAACCTCTATGAAGTTGCTCCCCAGTATACAAAAGGTGACAGATATGAAAGCTTAGGTAATATTAAATTTGCCATTACTCTTCAGCGGTTACTGCAGCTGGAGAATGATCTCCTCCAAGTTTTGCCATCAATATCATGCAAAAATACTATAAGGATATGAAGGGCAAAAAGAATGAAATTATAAGTAGGTGCCTTATGTCTGATAACTAATTTTTGCTCTAATTATTTGAGTTTCATAGCATAGGGGGGGTTGACACGATATGAAATCATGCTTACTCTTTTGTAGTAGTTCTTCTAGTACTAAATACATACAGCTCCATGGCATAGTTAGTTCAGTAACAGCATACTCCAGTGGAAAGCATCACCTCTGACAAAGCTCAGCATGCTGTGCACTGATTGGAAAACAGAACAAAATCCAATAAAGTGGTGCAAAAGGAGATGTCAAGGGGACACAGGTAATGTTTTCATTTTTCTTACGCTTAGCATTCCAAACTCTATATTGGAGCCAAACGGACTGCCAACCCTCCTCATATTTTTGCTGTTGCTGATATAGGATATCAGTCCATGGTGACATACAACTCGGATCAGGTAAAGATCAAGTGTCTTATTTATTCCTTGTGCTAGATTGAGAGATATGTGATGAGCTCAGATTCATGCTCTTGTCCTCTTCAGTGTATTGTTATTTCTGGAGAAAGTGGAGCTGGCAAGACACAAAGCGCCCATCTTCTGGTTCAGCAGCTCACTGTCCTGGGAAAGGTACGTTTCAAAGGGGATGCGCCTATGAGACTTTGATATCTGAGGCCTACTTGACTGAAGGTAGAGAGAGGGCATTGGTAATGGGCCAAGACTGTCATATATTTTCTGAAGAACATCTGTAAGGACAGATTGGAACATGATGATGATCCACCTACCCCTTCCTCCCTCCTGACCTAGGCTCACTTGGAAATATTTCTGTAAGGAAGTACCCATTGCAGCAAGGCCTGTAACTTCTTCATTCTGTTCCTTGTTTAACTGATTGTCTTCAAGTTACCCAAACTGTACTAAATAAAATTATCTTCTAGCTTTTCACCTCTCTCCACAACTAAATTGCTGTCAGTGGGATATGGCCGTTCTGGGAAGCAACCAACATAACTGGCTGAATCAAATGCCATTTTTACGTTTCCCAAATCAGCTGCAAGCAAGATGGTTTATCCATATGGTGCAGTGCAGCAATTAGCAGATGCAAACATGGATCCTAAAAGCAGGCTGGCCGTCTCAGGATGATGAAGTACATGAACTGATTAGCTCTGGTATCGCCACTATGCTTATATAATTCTGTGTTATTACTTACAGTCAGCCATTAGTTCTACAGATTACTATATTGTGACAGGTTTCATGGTATATCCATGCCTTTCTTTCCATATCGTTCGCACTGGAGTGACTGATCTGATGATGTGCCTTTTTATTCACGAGTATAGTGGATATCCACATCTGGGTCAGCTTGTGAAAGTCTGGTGTATTAAACGCTAGGTGTATATAAACAGTGGCACATTCAGTGGGAGAAAGAAGACCCTTAACAACTGATTGCATTGCATTTTGATGCCTTCTTGAACCTGCACGAGCAGGTCTTTTTGAGATCCATGGAAAGGTAGGGACCTGAGCATCTAAAGAGAAAAATTAATTGGTCAGTATGATTGATGAGAACTCAAAGACTGCATTTGTCCATACTAGGTGAAATCTTTTTCCCTGCAAAATCATTTATGTTCCTTACTTACTTACTGAGAGGTGCTCAGGTGGGCATGTGTAAGCTAGCTCTGATCCAGTTCATGCACTTGCAATTTCAGTGAAAATAAGAACATGATCTAACACTCACACAGGCATAATTTAGAATTGTTAGCCTGTGCCGCAGCACCTGCAGTACCGTAGTCATGTATACCAATGAGTTAAGGTACCACAGGTGTGACATGTGCCTGACCTTGCTAAGAGTTATGCTTTGAGGTGTTCATTCACTGTAACAAAGCTGCCAGAATGCCAGGTGGGTGGTAGAATAAATAATAAATAAATAATAGTTAATGCCCCCATTCATTCTTTTCTGTGCTGAAGCTTATTATGCTCAGCTTGAGGTCTCGAAGTAACCCCATAGAGGTTGCATGCATCAAGCTAGACATGTAGGTAAGGATTTCATTGTATTGGTTTTGCTCACCGGCACAGGAAAGAAGAGAAGAATTCCCTTCAATCTTTCTTTCCCTGCTCAAAGTCTGATGTTTATTCTTAGATCTAAATGTGAATTTTAAAAGTACATAATAAGAGTAACACTTCACAGTGCTGACCGTAAGTGGAAAGAAACATTTAAGAATGGCTATATTGGGATGATTACTGATAACTTTCAGCAATGTATTTTTTATAACTAGGCTAATAACAGGACTCTACAGGAGAAGATCCTCCAAGTGAATAACCTGGTAGAAGCATTTGGAAATGCAGGCACTATAATCAATGATAATTCCAGCAGATTTGGAAAATATTTGGAAATGAAATTCACTTGTGGTGGCACTGTAGTTGGAGCTCAGATTTCAGAGTATCTCCTTGAAAAATCCAGAGTTGTCCACCAGGCAGTGTAAGTATAAAAACAATATTTGACCTAATTTGGAGTTTACAGAGTAGGTCTACAATGCAGGAAATTGTCTTGGGACAAAATAGAAGGATGAATAAGGTACTGGAATTTTTTCTAATTAATGACATATGAATAGCTTATAAATCTCTAAGCTAACTGAAAAATACTTCCATATTTTTTCATTGTTTATTATCATTATTTAAACAAATATTGTTGTTTATTTCATTATTTAAACAAATCCCATAAAATTCATGTGTGATGCATGAAAAGGATATCAGCATGTATAAAGAATTTAAAATTTTCTAATAGTTTAGTTATAAAATTCTTTGCGGAATTTTGAACTAAGCTTTTAGTATTAATACATGGCTTGGATTAAATCTCATTATGTTTCCTCTAGCACTGTTGCTTTTGTTTGCGAAGTGCTCAGTTGTAGTTTTGGAGCATCTAATAAAATATGATTTGAAAAGTATTATGAACCTGTATACATCCATCTCTGTCATGTGTTTATGTATCATAATGCAAAATGATGTGAGAAATGAAATGACGTTTCCAGTGAATTTGAATTCTTGAAATGCATTTGATATCCTAATATATAGCACATTCAGATAAAAATATTTTAGCTACTCTGTTTCTGTCGTAATAACAATAGGAGAAATAGAGTTTAGGATAAGAAATTTTATCACTTATTTAAATTTTACCCCTTACTGATCTTCTACTTTTTTACTCTTGTTTTAATTCTGCATAACCTTGTTGCCTGTTGTACCTTTGTGACATTAAAAACATCTAAGTATCATTTAGAATGATTTAATAAACTTTAAAGTTAGAGACAATTTTATGAAATGCTGTTTTTCCCCCCTTTGAACATAATCACAGAAACTGCTTTCTCAGGAAGAAAACCCAGCTTGTTCCCTAAAATAACACTTTTTCATAACTTTTCATGGGTTTGTTCTGTTGCTGTCAGTTGATGTTGAGATTTAGCCTCGTGCTGAGACATGAAGTCAGCAAACCGTTTAGGTGCCTCAGTTGCTGTTTAGGTAGGTGTTTAATGTCTGAATTCACAGGAAAATGCCACCAAGCTCTTTAGTGTGAGGGTGCTGTAGGAAGCTAAAGGCTTTGAACCAAAAACTTCCAAGGGCGCCTGGAGGCTGTTTGTGTTCAACACTGCATTCGCCTCTTTGCTGCTGGTTTGTACAGCCACACTAGTCCAGGGAACTGGTATGTTGGTACCTGTGCTGCAAGGGGAGTCTGTTTTGTTCTTTCGGGAGGACATGACTCCCAAACTCAGCTGGAGGGTAGGAATGACTTTCTGCAGAAAACTGATGACTAAATTACCCAGGATATGGGAGATTCAAGTTCCAGGCCCACTTCACACTAAGCAATTTTGAGCCTGTGTCTCCCACCTTTCCAAGGAAACCCACAAACCATCAGGACATAGTGAGGAGTTACAGGGCACTGAGGGAGCAGATATGGGGATCAACTCCTGCTCCTTGAATTAATCGTATTTTCTCTCCAGTGACTGTCTACAATAAAATATGTAAACCTAGTTGGTACCAAACACTCCCTGTGCAGGGAGCAGTGCACTGGGCTCGGAACTTGTTTCACAGAAGCATGTAACAGTGTCACGGGGGCACACACCTAAGCTCATGCAGAACACAGAAGTTTGAGCAGAATCCTTTTTTGCCGTTTTGTAGTGACCAGCTTGGATACCTCAGTGTTCAGTGGTGGTTGTGAATTCCCACCTAAACATCTAGTTGTTCATCATAAGATGACAAGAGCTTTGGGTGTGCAAATAAGTCTTCTGTCCTGGGTTTGGGTGCCTAACTTTTAGGCAAAGCTTTACGAGTCATAAGGCCCTTAGCTGAATGCCTACTCGTGTGTTTTCCTGGTTCAAGGTTGAAAGACTCAGGAAACATGTTGGACTAAGTGAATCAGGAGCGCACAGCTCTCTCATTGGCAGAAGTTTGTTTTTTTTTTTTAAATCTGCAGGTTAAACTACCCAATTAATCAGAGTGGGCAAAGCAACATGCAAGATCTGACCCAGCATCTACCAACTATATCAAAGGCAGGGTGGCATTTAGCTTCTTATGGCACAGAGCAGCCACATGGGCAGCTTCAAAACAAGCACACTATACTACAGAAAGGATGTTCAGTTCACATGAACTTATGAAATACAGCTGATTTCAGAGCCCTCTGTTAGTTTGCATGAAATGAAAGTCTTACCTATTATTAAAATAACATTTAATAATAGCATCTATGTCTTCAGTAAATGTAACATTGTTATGTTACTAACCCACTTTGTTGTTTCTGTTGTTTCAGAGGAGAGAAAAATTTCCATATTTTTTATTATATTTATGCTGGTCTTGCAGAAAAGAAAAAATTGGCACATTATAAATTGCCAGAATATAGACCTCCCAGGTAATGCAGTTTATTTTTACATAAATTGATTAATAAGAATTGCAATGTTATTGAATTTTCAACCTCATTTGCACTCTAACTTTGTGTCTGTCAACTCTTTCAGATATCTGCAAAATGATCATTTCAGAATAGTGCAAGATTTTATGAACAATAGCTTTTATAAGTCCCAGTTTGAATTAATTGAACAGTGCTTCAAAGTCATAGGTTTCACACTGGAGGTGAGTGCTGATAAGCATTTTTCTATCTTTCTTTCTTTCCTCCCTCCTTTCCTCCCTCCTTTCCTCCCTCCTTTCCTCTCTCCTTTCCTCCCTCCTTTCCTCCCTTCCCTCCCTTCCCTTCCTTTCTTTCTTCCTTTTCCTTCCTTTCTTTCTTTCTTTCTTTCTTTCCTTGAACTTTTCTTTTTGAACTGTAATAGGTACCTCACTCAGGAGAAACCTATATAAAACATTCAAATAATCTCCTTTGTTATTTTTCTTCCATTAGCACTGTTTATGTTTTAGGATATTGCATACTCAATTTACTTTTATATTACTGCATTTTAATTTTTAAAGTATCAAGGCACTGATAAACTAATAGAATGGTATTAGTCAACAGGACATTGAAATTGGTGAGCACAACATAGCTAAATAATGGGGGGAAAAGGCTTTTGCAGATTAAATGCATAGAAAACAATGTGACTATTTGTTAGCTTACAATTTTAGACCTGTGAATATAAACCTCTTCTCTTTTTTAAGATGAAGTGCATGGTAAGAGTTTAAAAAATTCACTGAGTTGATCCAAGTTTTGATGAGTTAAGTATATTTTCACAATTTCAGGGACGAAGTTGAGTGAAGTTTTTACATCCCTTTAGGGTGAATCTGAACACAGAACGTTACCTGAACCCATTCTTTCTTTATGATCTCATATCATCACTCTGCTGGCTATTGAATCCCTCTCATCAGTCTGTATGTGGTAGAATTACAGTAAAAAACAAGCCTCTGGAATTCTGAGCTAGGATGCAGGGGAAGGAACCTTGCACCCATCCTGCACACTTGTTCACTCTTCCTAGAAGTGGTGCTTCACAGATATAGTTTACCGTTGACTGTATTAATCACAAATGGTAGTGGGAGTGTGATCCATGCAGTATCGCGAAATACAGCATTAGTGCTGCAGAATGCATATATTTTTGGTTTCTTTGACAAAAATGTATGTTCTAAGGAGCTTTTCATGGAAAACTACTCATTTTAGTTGAAAATTCCCAGCTTCTTTCAATGTAAATCTTTGAATTGTTATCGGAATAGATTTATTCAACTGTCTGTTCCTCCATACTCCTTTTGCATTAAGCTACCATAACAGTGGAGTTCAATCTCTGTTTTCTCTACATGCTTATTCACAGCTGCACATCTGTACTTTCACCTTTCCACAACTGTCATGAAAGGATTTGCTCAGTTCAGAGCTGATGTCAGCGCTGTCACAGCACTGAAGACCTTGATAAGCCCTAATTAATACTATGTAAAGCAGCAAGTCTGTTCGTGTTACCTTTTCTTTTGTTTAGTTTGATGGATAGCAACAACAGTCCTGTCCATCCAAAAGAGAAGGAAACCATCCTTACATTTTGAAGTTAGAGTTGGGTCACTGGCCGTGATGTGCGTTTCTAGCACGCGTCTTCATTTGACTAACTCAGTAAGCCACCATGTGGTTAGTCTGTGAAAAACCGTTTGCCTATAGACTCCTCACAATCTCAAGGTTGCGCACCATAAACAAGCAAACCCTGATAACATGTGAGCCCCATCCATGTTAGTCCCATCTTATATTCTCCACAGGTAAATTAGCCTGTCTGAGGCTGAGTGATTGACTGCAAGAGTGAAGGAGAAGTCTTTTTCCCCATTGAAGTTCCAATACAGGATACCAGGCAATTGCATGGGACTAGCTTTGTTTTCCATGTAAATCTCTCTCAAGAACTGTGAAGGAGGCATTGCCTTCTCCCTGTTTCCAGAGCAGCAGCCAACAGCGGAGGATTAGTTGACTTGTTTCCAAATGGTGGCAGCGGCCTGATGAGTTCTTGGACTGTGCCTGCATAACGCTGCCCAGCACTTCCGGGTGAACTCATACTGTCCACATGGTGGAGTGGTGGCTATTTGCCAAAAATCAAAGCGTGTTTGTGCAGAGATTATTTCTTTCCAGTGAAAGATACTGTAAGAAAATGTGCTTCTTCCCTAAGTAAACTGCTCAGTAATGCAGCGTTATGCTTTGACATTCATCCCAGTATACAGAGAAGTTTCTATATACGCGTATATTTTATCAGCAGAAAAACTTGGATAGAAAACCTTCCTGGCTCCAATTGAATTTCAGACCTAAATGATGTTTTTTTCCTTTAAATTTATTTTTAACTGACTGACAAGCTTTAATGGTAACTCTATTGTGAGTACTTTCTGTCGTAAAATCACACTATTTTACTTCAGGCCTCATGACAAAATTAATAGAAAAGAACTGCCTGGGGTGAGCAGAAACCATTCGGTATGAGACAGATCAAGCCAGATTTAGCACGCACTGGAAAAGGGCACAAAAATGTCAGCAGCTATATGCACTGCACAACATAATGGCAGAAGTCAAGCTATCAATTTCTTTGCATTTCGTCTGTGTTTCTAAGCTTAAAATGAAAATGATTGCTTAAAACCTAGACAAACTGTGAGCCAGTTATCCAGAGTGTAACTTTTTAGAGTGAGCTTATCTAGTTTGTCTTGCTGTCACTGGAATAATTAATTCATTAACGGCTAGATTAACTTCTGCAAGTGCTGAAAACAAGATCAAGTCTTTTAGAGCAATGAAAGATTTTATCTGAGTAAATGATGCCTGGCACTGTACCAACAAACTACTAAATATTAGGGATAAAATGTTGTAGAATTACGAAAAGTCCATCCTCATAGACTACCAATCAAACTTACAGAACTGCTTCTTATAAAACTACTATAAAACTTATGGAACTACTGCTTATAAAATTCACTATTACTGTTTACTTCAGAATATATAGTATCCCAGATTCCTATCTTAAAACCTAGCCTGCTTTACAGAAATACCATAGAAAATGCTTAGAGATCATCCAATATACTGATCAATGCTCACAATTCATATGAAAATTCACAGCTGAAAGTTCACAGTTCAAACCTGCAATGAAAGCATTATTTCATTAATTGTGAGTATGATTTTATCATGTATAAGTACTTAAAATCATTTACTGTATATATGACTTTACTGTGCAGATTAGAATTAGCCTTATCTGAAGGCAGAATCCCCTTTTTGAACCTACTAAATCATTTGAAATCTGTAGAACCCAGGCACATGCTTAAAAAAAGTACATGCCAAAGTGCTTTAGTGAGTACACAGTTCCTTAATGACATTTTAAAGAGTTAATGGTTTTGCTAAATTGGAGCCATGTGAAGTTTCATTCTTCTCCCAGCGAAACTCTTTTTCTGTTGATGTCAGTGGGAGCTGCAGCAGAGCTATCATTTGGAGCACCTTTGTTTCCATGATCCAAGAAGATTAGGTGGAGGTTTTTGAAATTTTTGTTGATTTAGATATTGCAATTTTAGTCAAGGTTGCATCTGCAGACACAGCACAAGGTGGATATAAATAACCTCTGAATTCCTTCCCTGTAAGAGCATTATGCTTACCACTGTTCTGTGGTTCCCCTATTCCATGTCAATCTTCTCCTGTAGACACGTATAGAAGCGAGATTAAACTATGGTTTATCTTGCCCTCTTTGGGTGATCATGCTTAAAAGAGACTAGTGCCAAGTACAGAATAGGGAATAACTGCTGAAGAAAGTACTCCTAAAATTAGTGGGCATGTGGCAGACAACAAGTGAGAGAAAGTGATTGTTCCAGGTACAGGAAGCAACACGCACGACAGAATAGCATGCTGGTCACACAAACCAAAGTGACAAATCTGTCAGGCTACTAAGTGTTACATGTTTTTAATATACTTTTCAGGAACTTGGAAGTGTGTACAGTGTTCTGGCTGCCATTTTAAATGTGGGTAACATTGAATTTTCTGCAGTGGTGTCTGAACATATGATTGACAAGAGCAACATTTCCAATCCAGTAGCCCTTGAGAATTGTAAGTGTTTTTTCTTGATTTAAGATTATTTTCCTCTAGTGTTTTATTAACTAATGTCTTCTATTGCAAGAGAGGTATCAATGAAAACTGTATCCACATGGAAATTTTGCAAGAATAATTAAATGCTGAAGTTAAATTAATTATAGGTCCACCTGAATTCAAATATAAAAGGAAGCAGTTTTCCATGTTATGTGCCTGATTTTACTAACCAGCTAGCGGTATTCAGGAAACATGACAAAATACTGGAAATGCCTGAAAAGAAAATCTTTGGTATTTTTTCTCAAGATTTTTTTGAACATTTGATGAAGAACTTCATTAACATTTTGAATTTTTTTTTTATTTTTTTTTCACAACCTCATTACTTGCTCCCTACCTATGCCCATTGAAATACGGGTTACTAATTCTTTGGAAGGGATCTCTTACACTGTAGGTTGCAAGGAGGCAGAGGAGGGGAGAGAGCAAAGATACTCAAGGAAGTCAGTGCTCTTTTTTTCAGTCATTGCAGGTGGGGAGAGAATGAAGTCTTCACGCTATCTTCTTACACGTTTTCCTGTCATAAATAGAAAAATATTGTGCAACTTGGAAAGATACACCCCTTTTTTGAAGAAGGAAAGACATCAGGGGATCGTAGGGATAGATTATAACTGAGAGGAATATTCATACCTCATAACTTTCATGCTCCTGATCTAGTCACGTAGATTCTCTAGCATTTCTCCATAGACAATTTGGAGGAATTACGTCCTTCATAGAGCAATTCAGAACACCTAAACAAAGCCTTTGCTTTGAATCACTTTCTTATTGATTACAAAGGAAGTGGAGAAGACTGGTGTCTAAATTAGGTACTGACAGTTGTTTGGTGTGAACACCCTCATTAGTCACAGCTGAAGACTTTGGTTTGGTACTTATTCGTAACACATTGTACTTGCAACCTTGACCAAAGTGCTGCATGTTTTTCTTCAAAAATCTGTCTCTGAGGTGTTTCTATGACTTTACTTGTTAGGTGCTTCCTTGCTGTGTATTCAGGCAGATGAACTGCAAGAGGCCCTCACCTCTCATTGTGTAGTGACTCGAGGAGAAACGATTATTCGTCCCAACACCGTGGAAAAAGCAACTGATGTCCGAGATGCCATGGCCAAAGCACTATATGGACGTCTTTTTAGCTGGATAGTCAATCGCATCAATACTTTACTCAAGCCTGACAAACATTTAAGGTAAAGGAAACATTTCTATAATTAAAATATTTCTGTGGGAATAATGTGTTTTACACTAGAACATTGATTTTAATTAACTGAAATGTTCCATTTTTTCTCTGCTACTTTTTTATTTTTGACAACATCATGTAAAAAAGAAGTTTTTATCCTACTTATAGTATTTAGTGAAAGTACAGTAGATATTGATAGTACAGACATCTGGTATTTTCCTATGTGTAGTTTACTCATCTAATCCTTTGTAAACTATGCATAACTGTATTGAAATGACATATTAACACGTTTTCCTTTTTCTCTGCCTATTTACTCATAGTACTCAGGGTCAACTCTTGACATTCACCTGTTGGTTATACAGGCTGAATTCTGCTCTCGTTTGCACCCACATTGTTGCTTGTGCTGCTGCTGCTGTTACGAAATACATATATGAGAGTGGTTTCCAAACACATTCATTGAGGTTAATGTCCGTCCTGCCCTTAAACGCAGAAACAAGAAACATACTAGCAATGAGGATATACCATATTGGGCAAATTAATCAAAGAAGAACTGATGCAGCTTGTGTTGTAAGTCCTGTAGGTCAGGGCCCTCTCTGGCTGCTAACAGATCTCTTTTCAAATTGAATATTTATGGTGCTGGTGAGGAAGGGGAAAGTTCAACCTGAACTGTTCTCTGTACAAAAACCTAGAAGTCTGCTTTGTTTTTGTGGTAATAAAACAGTTTGTATTTGCTGGTTTATTGAAATTAGGTCTGGAGATGAACTGGGCAGACAAATTTCAGCAGTTTATTCACCACAAAATGTAATTCCAGACAGATAAAATGATTACAAAATTTAGATCAAAATCAGTAAGTACTTTTGGTCTCTCCAAAATGAAACCCTTGTATTTTTCAAACTGGCTTCTTAAAGAGGCTCAAGTGCTATTCACAGGTGTCTTGAAGGAGGTTCTACGTACCTAACAGCCTGTACTTTTTATGAAAAAAAAAAAAATGTTTAGAGATAGCTCAAATGGGGTTTGTGGGTAGAAAATGCTTTTTTTTCAATTTAGTTGTAAAAAATGCTAATGCCAACCTTAGTTTGTTAGAGAAATGTATCTTTGTGTTATTTTTTGTTTCAGACAGTAAATAAAAGTATTAGTATTTTTTTCAAGTTGCAGCAATTATCATATAGTTCTCAGAATTCCTTGGGCTAAAATTTCAAGCTTAGGTTTTTACTGGTAGTTCTTTTCTAGAATTTGACTGGTAGTTTAAATATATACCACACTCCAGTACTTAATACTCAGACTAGTTACTAGACACGTAAAAGTTCTATACATTCATTCTTTAGACTGTCATTTTCAAATAACCAATTTTAATTGTTGCAAAATAAATAATATGAAGGAGTAATGCTTAATTTCAGCAATCTTTAATTTGAAGGTACGATTGGGTAAAGCCTATTTTATTACAAGAGAAACAAAAAGAACTGCATGTTGCTCCTGCACTGTAGTTAGCTTTTTACAACAGATTAATAACTAATAGATATTAGTTTAGGAAGAAAATTGCAAATCCTCTATAATTATCAATTGACTTTGTCATTATATGATTCAGTGCATCTGGTCTGCAAATACAGTCATTCTTTGAATTTGTGTACGCTTACTGTACTTCAGATAAAAGTTGATTGTTATTTTTGGAGAAATCTGGTTTAGCAAAATTCATCCTATTTAATTGCCTTACGGACTCGACCTGTTATCTGCTATTGTGAAATAATAATGGAGTTACTGTAAAATAATTGAGATAAAACAATAAAAAGTTTATTTAATTTTTGCAGTGAAAATGATGGTGGTTTAAACATTGGAATTCTTGATATCTTTGGCTTTGAGAATTTCAAAAAAAATTCCTTTGAACAACTCTGCATCAACATTGCCAATGAACAGATTCAGTTTTACTTCAATCAACATGTCTTTGCTTGGGAACAGGTATGTTTTCAATATTTTGATAAAGGTTAGTATTGCTGAACATAAAAAGTCTTGTCTCAAGAAACTACACTGTTCTTTCTCCATAACGAGTTCTAAATTGCAGATTACAACAAATGTTTTCTGAGCCTATATTTGTGAAGCACTGCTGGATTGCTATTTGCAAGTAAAATGCCCACCTAAAATGTATTAAACTTGAAATTTACAGTATCTAAGCAACAGAGTACAGTGATAATCAGTTTGATGCAAATGCAGTGTTGTTTTCCTGAAGAATAATGAGTGGTGTGATGTATGGTTCTACATTAAAAAAAAGTAAATGACTGGTAATATAATTTGTAAAGTGCAGCATTCAAAATATCTTACTAATAAGCATAATGAAAACTGAAATTTCACATTTAAAAACTGGAAATCTTGAAATTATTTTGTTCTTATTCAGGAACTAGAGTATCTAAGCTAAATAATGATGGATTTAATCTAAATAATTTGATGTAAAACAGAGAAAAGGAAGAGAATCGTAATTATAAAAGTTAATGAAATTCAAGAGGACAGTGAAAAACCTAAGAGTGATCATCTCAATTTTGTAAAGAATTCCGTGAAAGTTGTATTAATCAGTCATCTCTAAATCCCTGTCCAGTAATATTTGGAAAAAATAACATGTCTGTGGGAAAAAAAAATTAAATTCACTGAAAATAGAAATATTCCAGAATGCTGGAATGACCAGGACATTCAGCATTCAAATTTTCTCTATTTCTTTGAAATTATTATTTTTTGAGAACCGTAGACCAAAATCCTCCTAAATATTAATTTTGATTTTTAGTAGGAAAAGAGTGTTTTGTCAATTTTAATCGCCGCTTGTTTTAAGGATAAGACAGATACAAGTTTGGAATATGTCTATATGTAAGTGTGTACGTGCACATGTTAGTCTAGAGGTATAAAATGGAAAATATTATTAAATTGCCAACATTTTTTCTTGTTCCCCGTTATTTCAGGAAATGCTGTCTTACAGTCCTAGATCTTGCAGGGTTTTTTTATAGATTCATGTTGAAGATTTCTCAGTCCCAAGTCCTCCTTTGTTCTTAATACCATATAAGAGTAAGAGAGAAATTAGCTTCCACTACTGTAATTACTTTGATGTTTTTTTTCCAAAGTACATAAAGTCACACAAAAAGAGCACTTGGCTACTGCTGTTTCTAACAGCTTGTGGGGTGTGATGGCCAAATAATGAAGAAGGAAGTAGCACAGACTGCAAAATTGTTCTTTATTCCAGTCAGAATCCAGGCAAAGAGATAACAGTCAGTGAAAATT